ATAATAAAATAATATAAATATATATANAANACAACACACACATTATATATATATTATATATATATATTATATATAATAATATATATATATATATATATATATATATATTATATATATATATATATATATTATATTCTTATGTTTAGATGTTGATGGGTACACGCGAGTGTGGTTGGCTGCGCCACATGACGTGCAATTATTGGGCTTGTGAGAGTGGTGTTCAGAGACCCTTACTTACTCTTATGAAGTGGTATGTTGCACATCATAATCACTGGTCGTGTCTGTTATAGGAATTGAAAATAAAAGTGTTCTGCGTTAAACAATAAAACCAGTCTACGCGTAAAGGTTTTAGGGTTTAAGGTTTACGTTTGCGCACACACACACACACAGTGAGCTTGTGGGCGCGGTCGTTCTTCTTGTAGATGAACACTGATAACCAACAGATGCCTCATTACACACACATGCCTTACACCCAAACCCTAAAATCCAAACCCTAAAAACCCCCGTGATTCACATGACTAACACGTGCACACATCTGCCAGACATACAAGCCGTGTCCATGATTCTCTCATACACTGATCACTCACATACACTGATCACTCACATACACCATTCACTCACATACACTGATCACTCACATACACCGATCACTCACATACACCGATCACTCACATACACTGATCACTCACATACACTGATCACTCACATACACTGATCACTCACATACACTGATCACTCACATACACTGACCACTCACATACACCGATCACTCACATACACTGATGGCATATGTGTACATATGTGATGTCCCCCTCACGCAGCTGACAGTGGAGTGAATGTGCAGTTGATTATCATGACCATGTACATGGTGCTGGTGTACATGGTGGTTAACTGTCTCATGGTCGTGTTCAAGCTGTGGAAGGTCTTCCGTAGTGAGGTGCAGCGCCTTAGCAACCACAACACCTCAGCAGCCAAAGACGACTCCTATAACACCCGGAACCACGAAGCCTCCGACCGATCAGGCGGGTAAGGCACACAGTGGTTAAACGATGACCAGAGAGAGAGAGAGTGTGTGTGTGTGTATGTTTGTGAACTGTGAGTTGGTATAAGAACTGGTATACGAAATATCTTGATGGGGTTGTCGTAGAAGGACTGCGTAGTTTTGTGGTTGCTATGGACTGCATGATTGCGTGCGGGTGTATGTGAACGGAATAATTAGCCGGCGATAGTTGTACCACCGTACTGTTTTGTCTTTGATGACTGTCATGAAGTGTGCCCTGTGCCTCTATGTGCGACTATTGCGTTGCTTTGTGGCGGGTACTTCATGCACTTTATCTACAAACACACGTTAACGTCTTCTATCATGTCATAGTTAATTCCAATGTGTTTATATATTCCTTTTCTCGGATGTAACTTAAGATGTTCCTTTATGGCGTTCAACGCCACAAACGTTCACCTGACGTGTCACTCTGCTACTAAACCATACCCTTTTTTTAATAGTTTATATACATATATATATATATATATATATACGCACACACACACACATATATATATTTATATATATACATATACATATATATACGCACACACACACATATATATATATATGTATATATATATATATATGTTTGTGTGTGTTTATAATATCAATATATATATATATATATATAAATATAAGAATATATATATAAATATAAGAAAATACATGTTATATATATATATATATATATATATATATGTGTGTGTGTGTGTATATATAAATATATATGTGTGCGTGTGCGTGTGTGTTTGTGTTTTGTGTTTGTGCGTACATATATATTTCCACTAACCATATATCAATCCACATGTCATTGAATACAGTGATTCGATAGCACAGCCCAGTCAGCGGCAACTGCTGCCCATGTCGGGACCCAGTGGACAAGGCGACAGAGGCAGTGCGGGCATTCTCCACGTCAAGGGTGTGAGTGAACCCATCAACACCGACAAACAGTCCTCGTCAGGTATGCTTGTTACATTTTATTATATGTTTTCACACGATAATATATATATATATATAATTTGAAATTGAATTTGAAATTGAAGTGTTGCTGTGGTTGATTACTGTGGTTATGGAAGTAGGTGTTTGCTCCGACTTGTGTCATGCGATGCGTATAGTGTAGGTTAAGACACTTCTAAGCACGATCTTACTTATTCTACCAGATCCAAGCCACCCCACTTCGTCAAGTCCACACAACTGCCAACTATATTCTCCCAAGCAGTCTCAGCTCAATACAACTCACAACTGAATACGACACACACGTAGCAGCACACTTATCTCTCTGAACCAAACTCAGCCCTACAGTACACAGCGCTAACCGTGCACGCTCATTCGCCTCAGGTAACTTCAACTCAGTGATGTTCACATCGTCAGGCGGTGGTCTGCTGTCGTACCCCACAGCCGCATCATCCAGCAGCAACGGCTCACTACAACGATCCAATTCCAACAACGCCACACCCAACAACACCACTGGCAACACTAACAGCGCAGCCACAAGAAAGAGGGAATACAAGCGTGCAGCAGGGGTCATTAAAGGGCCTGGGTCAGCGTCCATCAACACGGCCGCGTGTGTGGACGATAGGTGTATAGTCGAGGCTGACGATGTGGCCGAGGGGGCGTCATCAGACCTAACTGAGGTGTAGTGGGGGGTGCGATGGGGTGGATGGAAATAGTTAGTAACTGTAGTATGGGAGACTTTAGGTGTACGGCAGTGAGTCCTGGGACTCTGAGAGTATGTAAGTGGTGGGAAACGATTAGTAGGTGGCGGGTGGGGGGTAGCGCAAGTAGGTGCACCTGGCAGGTATGCGCACTGTGTGTGTGTCTGCATTGGATTTGCAAGTGTCGGGCGAACACTGTGTCCGTGTGAGTCATGTGTTCGTATATGACTTCTCCGCAACGGTCTAATGTATAGCTCAGTGCACGGACACCTCTTGTGTGGTGCGGCAGGCATGCAGCGTCACCAACCACTACGCGTGGGCACGAACACGCACGTATGCACATCGCCACTGTCTGTTCTGTAGGAGGACGAGATAAAGAGACACGTAGACGAGATGGCATGCATGGGCTCTATGCGCAGAACTTACGAATGCAACACTCAGCCAAGCTAATGGATGTGTGTAGCAATGGAGTCATCTACACGTGGACACCTTTGACTTCCCCCAGTGGCTCTGCGCTGGGGCGGGCGTGGTGGGGAGAGCCACAGACTATATCACAAGTGCAGGAAAAAAAAAGTACGCACACACGCGACCACTAAAGGCCACGCCAGCCCATGTCAAGCGATGGGCAGAAAACACCTTAACAAAAAAGCAGCAGTGCCACTGTTACAACCTTATATGGGGCCATAGTGGGATTAGCTGTAGCTGTAGCATGGACAATTAAACAGCAGCATAGGCAAAGGCATAGACATAGGCATAGGTCTAGTCATAGTCATAAGAAGTCGCCCTGCACATCAGCAGAGTAAACTTGGGACAACACTAGTAAAAGGGAATGAATACCGCCCACTCGGCGCAGTAGAAATGGCGGGAGCCCGCGCGAATGCTGTAGCCTCAGACGTCTAGTTAGTTGCGCACAGGTGTCGTCTCACTAGAAGACAATCAACCGTAGCAGGGGACGCTCGTGCACGGGTGGTGCCAGTCATCACACGGAGTGGGCTGCAGTGTCTGAACTAGGTTTGCGTTCGGCCGTATCACTATTCACAGTAATAGCCAGCATCTCCCAGGGGGAGCAATGTGGCAAAGTAGGTCGTCCAACATTGGCGTACGGGCGTTCTCGCGTACGTATGGGCTGATGTACAGAGAGCGAAGTACACGTGCCGTTAAAACGCATCATTCGCAGATGGACGCAAGAACAGCCAACACCAACACTACACTCGCAAGGAAGTGGTTGGTTAATAGTCTTAACGTTGTAATATGGAGTGCGCATCACAGCGAGCTGCTCCAAATAGCTGGATTCCTGATTCGTGACACTCAGGTACTATCAGGGCATCCTAATTAGAAAACATATGTATGTGATATCACATTAATAAATTTCACGTATAAATCTCATCCTTTAAATTAGAAAACATATGTTTGTGATATCACATTGATAAGTTTCGTGTAGGAATCTTCAATGCATCCCGCAGAGGAATTGGTTTATGTATGACTGCATATATACAACCATGGTGCAATGTGCGTGGAGTCGAAAAGTTATTTATAGCCAAGTCTAGTGAGTGTTCCTAAGGCTTAAAGTTGAGTAGAGGAGATGCCCTAACTGGAGACGGGGATCCAATTTTATACCAGCTTTAGTATGGTCCTGCATCGTTTAATGTTGAAATGTAGTGATACATATAAAGCGTAAACACCCGGTTAAGCCTGCTCAAATTAAGTTAAGCGCTTCAGATCGAAACTCAAAACCGCCAGTCGTTGGTGACGAATAAATTGAAACCATAGCAAGCCCCACAGAACAGTCTTATATTCCACTCTGCAGTGAACCAATATCCGAGGTCTGGTAGCAATTCAATAATAACAGCACTCAACTGACACACTGGAAGACTGCGACAAGGCATTGAGCAGTCGTATATACCTCTAGAATGCACATCTGCGGCGACCAAATACATACTTGATTGATAGACCCCCTAATATATAAAGTCAAGCGCAACCATGTGAACACACAAGAATCGAACTTGAACAGAAATTGTTAAAACCTTCATTATACGCCACGCCATAGCACACAAGTGTTTCTTTGTAGTGGAAAGCACACTATTGCTATATACTGGTATTAAATGTGGTGACATCCCAAAGAAGTTGTCTGAAAGCAATATTTGCCTTGGTTATAAGAATATCTTGAAAAGTTTATTTTTTTATCATAAATGTCGACTATATACTAACAATAGTAAGTATGCTTTCCACAGACCAGTAAGCTTGTCAAAGACCGCATGAGTTGATATTTCAAAATTCTGACTGTCTTCATGTAGCCGCAAGCAATGTATGAACGCGAATCGGCATATATTTATTTACAAAGCAGGCAGCATGTTTACATTTGTAACGCATGCATGTAAACAAGCAATATCTCAAGACGTATATTCTAGATGAAAGTTTGTAGTGAAAATTGCAGCTTCGATCAGCATTCTATTGAGGGCACCTCTTGCGTGGTTAAAAAAATGCCCGCTTGGACAGGATTTCAATTTGGCGACGTAGAAATATATTTAAATATTTATAAATACATGCCGATAAAATGTCGAGAAATTTTTATAGAGTCGTAGTACGACATGTGGTATTTAGAATAGCTAAATATTTATCTGCACGTTGATATCAACATGTGAACTCTCTCGAGAAAAAAACCATCTACTAAAAAAAACAATAAATATATTACGTTTGTTTTTTTTTAAACAAAACAAAAACAAAATTAAACAAGAATCTGTTTGTTTTTATTTTATTTTTAAAAAACAATTTTATAGTAAAATAGAAACTAGAGTCGAGTGACTCGAGTCTCGACACTCGAGTTTCGAGTCTCTCACTCTACTCTCTCTCTGTAGCGATATTTTTGATCGAATTTAGTAACAAAGCTAAGATTTTGGCGCGCAATGTTCCAAAACTGTTGAATTTAGGCGTCTATGCCAAAACCCATTTATACCCATATCTGGCCATATATGTATTGGAAAAATAAATAAAAATACTGTGTTACTTCTACATCAGGTGTAAATACCGCAGCAAATAGCTGAGCAACAGCTGAGCAATAAACATATTAAAGTAAAGGGACTTCCATTCATGATTTAAAATAATAGTACTTTATACTACTTAACCACTTATAGATATTTACAAAGCTGTCAGTTGCTGAAGAGAAAGGTCACCCAGCTATCATGTCAGTCACTAAATTAGCTAAGCCCGTGACGGCTGTCGGTCTTGCGGTGAAAGGCAATCCGCTGAAAGATGGCGTGTTTGAAGAAACTGAGTACACTATCGAAGGTGTGCTGTGTGTGTTATTATGTTGTTCTAGAATCAGTTGCTAGTGGATGGTTCCTATACCTACCGTGCAATTCGCCTCCTTCACTCATATGCACTACTGTTGGTTTTTGCTGAGTTGCAGAGTTAGACCCCGGATTTGTTCTCATCAAAATCATGGCGACATCAATCTGTCACACGGATTTCAGCGTCTTCGGGAAGTAAGTACTGTGATGGCAGTACAGTTGTCTGTTCCATTGAAGAGTTAAAGTTTCGTCTGCATATATTACAGGACTGATAAAAGATGCAGTTTGCCTATAAACATGTAGAGTTTTGCATGAACCGCGCGTGTCTTAAAAAGTATACAGCAGATCATCAAACGTTGGCTTTCGTACAAACAAGGTGCTCAGTTGTATCAGGGTGTTGTCCGCGATTGAGGTTACGGACCTGCCTGGTGAATCTCGCGTGTACATTTCCACCTCAAAGCACATTCGTATGTCTCACATCTCGAATTGTTTATAAAGTTTACGGGTAGAAATATAGTCTAGCGTGATGCTATCGAAAACCAAATAACAAGAGATACCCTTAAACAGGCCTTTTCGAACGCAGAGCCCATATATATATATATATATATATATATATATATATATATATATATATATATATATATATATATATATATATATATATATATATATAATATATATATATATACTATCTATATCTATATCTATATTTATATTTATATATGTTTATGTAGTTCTACTATACCACTAACACAAAAATTCTACTGTATATACGTATGACAATATATGTATAATAATGGTTCTACTTAACCCCTGACTAGAGATGGGTCTATCCCTGGGCATGAGATGGCTGGTGTTGTTGAAGCGGTCGCTGACGATGTTACAGATGTCAAGATAGGCCAAAGGTGAGATCGTATGTCTTCGAGCGATTGGGACAGATGTTTTGGTCAGAGTGCGCAAGTTTTCGGAAATAAGACAGCTCTTGGAAAATGCAAGCTATTTTTAATTTTTAGTATATATACACAAATAATATTTGTACTTCTCTGTCATGTCGAATTCGGTAGACTGTTGGTATAGGAGCGCAAATACGCACGCTTCTGGGTTGAAAGCGTTTAATATTTTTTTGTGGCTGAAATGCTAGTAATGCCCGAAACGTGCAAAATGCCACCCATGGATAGTACCATTCGTGAATATGTAGGCCATTGTGAAAGTGTTCGGTAATCGGGTTGGGAATTATACCTACGCTTGTTGTATATGTGATGTTGTTGTATACTAATCGAATACTTTGTGGTAACTGTGTAGGGTTGCGGTGGGGTGGCAGCGAAACAGCTGTCGTGACTGCGAGTTTTGTAACGAGCGCGAGGAGAACATGTGCGGCAAAGCGGTATGTGGCAGACGCAACAATGCGTGTGCATAGTAGTACCACATCAAAGGTAGTACACCATAGGTAATACACCATAGGTAGCACACCATAGGTAGCACATCGTAGGTAGTACACCAGAGGTAGTACACCCTAGGTAGTACACCTACAGCATAAGTAGTGCACCATAGGCAGTACACCATAGGTAGGGCATAAGTAGTGCACCATAGGCAGTACACCATAGGTAGTACACCTACAGCATAAGTAGTGCACCATAAGCAGTACACCATAGGTAGTACACCTACAGCATAAGTAGTGCACCATAAGCAGTACACCATAGGTAGTACACCTACAGCATAAGCAGTGCACCAAAGGCAGTACACCATAGGTAGTACACCATAGGTAGTACACCGTAGGTAGTACACCAGAGGTAGTCCACCGTAGGTAGTACACCAGAGGTAGTCCACCGTAGGTAGTACACCAGAGGTAGTCCACCATAGTTCTATTCCGCACAACTACTCGAGCGACTGACGTCCAAGGCCTGTTGCTTGCACAGACAAGCTTCCGCCATGGCAGGGGTGGGTGGGCTACGCATGTGGTGTGGCACCAGCACTTCGTTGCACCAGTCCCTGACGGCATTGAGGACTCAGCCGTCGCCCCACTCATGTGGTAAAGCTAGTGTAGCAATATACTCGTTGGCATAATGAGGTTTAATATATTCGTTGCCATAGTGAGGTTTTGCACGGTATACTCTTTGGCATGGTGAGTTTCAGTATACAACCATACACTGTGGATTGGTATCTGCGGATATGATAACATCATGCACGGTTAATCTGGTATATTGACAGACACACTCATTTGGAATCAACATGGCGAAGTAGACTGTGCAACTCCGTTCTCATCCCGTCACCAGTATTGTGCTTGGTTAGTTTGGCGTTGATTAGTTCACTAGTTGTATGCAATCCATCGACTGATGATCTCCGGTGTGCGAAGTAACCAATTGATGATTGGGTGTGAATGCATGGGCGTCTTTCTAGAGTGATTGGGTGTGAATGTATGGGCGTCTCTCTAGAGTGATTGTGTGAGAATGCATGGGCGTCTCTCTAGAGTGATTGTGTGAGAATGCATGGGCGTCTCTCTAGAATGCGCTATTTATCGTATACACTGCCCTCCTCCACTGCGTGCTACAGGCCGCGATATGGCCACACGGATGAAACGGAACCTACTTAAACTCAGTTCACTCTGTGGTTGTGCGGGTTTTTAGGGTTTTTATGATTGTGCGGGTTTTTAGGGTTTCTATGATTGTGCGGGTGAAAAACCGTCTACTGCAAATCAATCATGTGTCCGTACTCGCACGCTACCACTGCACGAGTATGCATGGCTGCTGGCCGATCTTACTGAGAGAGTGATGGCTAAGGATGTACGGGTTAAAAGGGGAGAGTGATGGTTAAGGATGTACGAGTTTTAAGGGGAGAGTGATGGTTAAGGATGTGAGTGTGCATGTGCTACGTTGAATTGTACAGGGACTAAGATCGCCTACTCCTTTTTCTCGCAGTGCGGGAGCAACAGTATACAACGCCTTCAAGCAGAACGACGTCAAGAAAGGCGACAAGGTGTGTATGCGCCAATGACGCCCTATACAGATATATATATATATATATATATATATAAACACACACACACACATATATATATATATATATATATGTATATATATATATATATATATGTATGTATGTATGTATATATATATATATATATATATATATATACATATATATATATATATATATCGTCTTCACGCCTCCCAGTCAGGAGTACTAGTGGTTAATATCGACTGTGGAATCAAAGCCATTCGACGTCATTCGAACACAACACGATTCTGATCTGTATTCACCTACCCGCATGGCTTTATTTGAAGTACAGGTGGCAGTTGTGAGTATCGGCGGCCTAGGACATCTGGCGCTGATGATCGCTCATGAGATGGGATGTGAAGTCACTGCAATATCCCGAGGCACGGACAAGAAGGTGCGTGTCTGATACTTATTGTATAATCAAATGATGCATTCTGACGCCGAGTCGTTCGAGTGTTCTGTATTGCTATACAATGCCCCAATTAATGGGCCTCTGCTCCCAGACTATACTGTAGGTGACGTGTTGGTCGGAGATCTGCGCGTACGTATTATACGAGTGACTCACAGGAATTTCTACGCATGTAATTAGTGACTGTACGTACGTGTGTGTAGCTGCGATGTCTCCATCAACTGTAAGTATAAGCAGATTACATTGCATGCTTTGACTAGCAGCGCTTACTTGAATATGAGTGTGGTGCACTTTGAGACGAATCCACATATGTATGCGCCAATAATCTTACAACCCCAAAACCTTAAACCCCTAAAACCCGTAAAGCATGTTGTTCATCTACCGCGCACCTATCATGCGTGTGTCTCAGGAGGAGAGTCACAAGTTCGGAGCGGACAAATACATCAACTCCAAAGACGCCGCGCAAATCAAGGAAGCAGAGAAGAGATTCAACTTCATGCTGGTCACCACCCCAGCGGATTTGGACTGGGATAGCTACTCTACCATGATCCGTTCGGTTAGGGGCACCATGTGTATTGTGGGCATACCACCGTCGTACAAGTACACATTCGGACTGGGGCCCATCATCGGCACGAACATCAAGGTTGGTGTTTTACAGTGCTTGAGTGTTCGTGTGAGGCTACTACCTACAATCCAGTTGTAGCTCTGCCTGGCTGCCGTGTGATTAAGATGTTATTGCAGTTCGCAGGCCTCCTCGATACCACAGCTTTGTCATTGCCTGAGTGCTGGTTCTGGAATACTCGCGAAACTAATGTGTACTGAAATGCTATGGTTGCTTTGAAATTGCTATGTACTTTTTAATTGTTCGCAGATCTGGGTGCATAAACTGTGTACTGTCAAAATCGACGTTTCTATGAAACTAGTGGATGTTCCAATCTACCAGGAATCGAATCTGGTAAATCCACTCTCTCAGCATTCATGTATCCCTATGTGTAAGCCCTCATATTCGTATCTCTGTTATCACCAGATCACCGGGAGTCTCGTGGCATCGCCGGAGACGACCAGAGAAATGTTAGAGTTCTGTGCGGAGCACAAGGTACGGCCGGTGATCGAAGAGTTTGCCTTCGATGCCAACTCCTGCCTCAAGGCCGTTAAGAAGGTCGAGGACAACCACATCCGATTCAGAGCTGTTTTAAAGCCCTAGTCACCTCTTGTAGTTTAGGAGGAGTGTATGATCCATGTGTTTGTGATGGTTGTTGGATAATTTATGCGTTTGCGAATATGTGAGACCTTTGGAGGGTGTGCAGACTGCACACCAGTTCACCACGATGGAATAACATTGCCAGGCATGCTGGCGTGAACATAGGCCACGGGCACCGGAGTAGACGATTGAAAGGGGGACAAAACAGCCACGTATCTATTTCAGCTAACCATACCAAGCATATTGCGTTATAGAATGCTAGCCAGAGTCACATACTCTCATTAAGAGCATGTGCCCCGTCATGATGATTTGGTGCATTTGAAAAAAACGTGTTCAAGTAACGCATCGGAATACGACCTGCAACGATCGTACCACTCACCTGAGAGCACGTGTAATATACAAATCACCCGGTAATGAATATCAGGAACACAATCACGGTTCGGTACATTGCACTATTGAGTGTCGTCATGGCACATCAATGCCCTCTTGTTCCCGCCAAGTGCGGTAGAACGAGGATAAATACTTACCAGTAGAGGAAGCAATATAAAAGTCGCTTGTTACCAGATTCCACACGTCTAACATGTATAGCGTGCGAAGAACGTATTTTAACACAGAGAGGCTAGCCTTATTTCTCTTCGTACAATACTGCCTCGTGTGCCATAAACCTCCGCCATTCCAGAGCCTCTCGAGTGACTTAGCAAGCCGTATCAATAATAGCGATGAAACAACTTGACAATTTGAAATAAATGTATGGGCATGTGCGACGGTCGTGTTCAGTGTTCTGTTGCGAAGAACTGCGGATGGTTTCGACCGAGTTCACCAATAGGGGTTGACAATAACAAAACAAAAAAGGCTTTTTGAGACGGGGGAATTTTACTATAGAGATTGACCCAGAGGTACATGAAATATTTATGTTCATTCGTCGTTAGACAGCTTAAAATGTTCATCTCGACGAGTTAGCCACGCATTTTTAATCTCATCCCGATCGGCCTATTGGTTCAAAAGCTAAGGCAAATACTAATTTGTACCAGAACTGGGTCAAACTAGCCATACGTAGACGTTATGTATGTCCATGTACACCTATCCGATCTCCTGGGATCAAAATATGTTATTCTAATAAGATATATGTGCATGCACAGCGACTCTGGAGGTGTATGTGAGGTACCAGTTTCTATACCTAGTACATTTTGTACCAGTGACAAAACGAAGTGCACGAAACACATCTCCAGAGTCGCTGTGCGTGCATATATATCCTCCCAAAGAGTATTAGAATAACATATTTTGATCCCAGGAGCATCGGATAGGTGTACATGGACATGCACAATACATACGTATGGCTAGTTTGACCCATTCTGGTACAAACTGGTATTTGCCTTAACTTTTGAACCAATAGGCCGATCGGGATGAGATTAAAAATGCGTGGCTAACTCGTCGAGACGAACATTTTAAGCTAGCTAACGACCAATAAACGTAAATATTTTATGTACCTCTGGGCTGGGTCAACCTCTATAGTAAAATTCCCCGTCTTCAAAAAACCTACTCACTTTGTTGTCAACCCCTATCAGTCAATCTGAATCACCTGACTTCAGGTCCAGGAATTTGGCCCGGTGTGTCGGATCATTCGATGTCCAATGATATTGGGAGTTGGATAACCTTTCAACATATTTTACAAATCAGCTGAATCTGATTAGCTGAAGGCTCTTGAATTTACTCCTGATTCCTGTCCTGAAGCCTGAAGACCCGTACTGGAGTCTGCAGACTCCGTGCAGAGTATGTACACACTTTGTTTTTCTCTATTGTTTAAAAAACAAACGAAATATTTCAACAACAACAAAAATGAGTTTTTTTGTTATACAAAAGGGTTTGCAGAAATATCAAGGCCCGTATCCGTGAGGCAGGGTCTCATCTCAATCTGAGGGCTGAGGCCTCTGGGCCTCTCTGGGGCCTGAGTGACCTCTTTGCCCTTAGGGCCCTGGGGCTTAGGTCGCCGTCAGGTGTCTAAATACATATGTACTGATACTAAGGCATATTATTTGATTTTTTTTTTACTTCCCCCCCCCCCCTCCCCGAAATCTAAAATAAAAATAAAAATCTACAGACGGCTAATTAATTACGGCTATATACCCGAGCGTGCGCTATGTAACCTACAAGTAAAACTGCAGTATAACTTTCGTGTTCTGATACTATTCATCCCACGCTACACTTGACAACAGTATGTCAATTCATTGCTTGATCAAGCTGTAATGGAATTAGTTGTGACCTACGTGAATAATATTGCAGGGGTCTCTTATTTAGTCGTTCCGTAGGTGCGAAGCTGTCTTATTTATATATCGCGAGCTATGATACTAGTATTGAAGTGAATCGTAACTCTTCACAAAACTTGAACCGTATTTCATACATGAAAATATATTTAGTAGGAACGGCATGCGATCTATTGAATGGTATAACGGTGATATCATATTTGTACGGACACACACGGACTGCAACTGCCATCAAGGGGCGTTAAGTAAGCAACATGCGGGGGTCGTTTGACTCTGACGACTCGAATGAGTATGGTGCTACTGTTCGATCGGTCGACAGATCCTACCTGGATGCACCAGGTATGTGTTCATAACGAGAAATTTCATAGCACACACATATTCAGATAGTATTTGCTTTGAAATTTCGTGGCACAACTTATGCGTGTACGCAATACTATCGGAGGCACATTCTTATCAGTGTACGTAACGCACTCTAAATTTCGACTATAGCCGTCGAAGGATGTTTGGCAACCAAGATCTGGAATTTTGTGTCATCATTTACTCGTGTACTGTTTAGAAGAGTTCATAGCTGTTCTTGTGTGCAACTGAAAGACCCGATAGCGAAAGTATGTATATATGTACATGTGTTTATGTGCACCTACATTTGGACATATAGATATATATTCATATCCACCTCCGAATCCCTTCCTCCGCCACACACACACACGCACAAACACACACACAAGCACAAACATACACAAACATACACACAGGCACACACATATACATACATACACACACACACATATATATATATATATATATAATCTATATATATATATATATATATAACTAGTTATTTACTTTTATTATT